AATATATATATATATATATATATATATATATATTGGGGGCTCTCATTGCTGTAGGGTCTTTTTTTTTTCTTATTATTATTATTGATCTTTATGAGCTTTTTTAAATATATATATCATTGCATCAATAAACGATTTACACCTTTTTTTTTCTGGCAGTGCTTCTAGAAACACATGCATACATGCATCCCCATGCCTAAACTTTGGAGGATGCGCTCACTCAATTAGGATGAGAGACGTAACAATTCTATAAGAATAATACTCACAGTCGCCATTGATGGTAACGTTGATGGTTACTGCTGCAGCTACAGCTGGGCCCTAGCAGTGTCTCTGTGTGTATGTGTTTTTTCAGATAACATAGGAACCTGTTGAGTTGGTTTTGTTTGACCGCTTGTCTTGGTTCAACATACAACCGTATTGGGAGTCTTTTGATGCTTACTATCCTCTTCTTATCTTTGCTTTATAACCCACACCCTTGTCACCCCCCTCCTCTGCTCTGCATCTCAGCTGGCACCAGAAGAGTGCAGGCAACCTGCTGCTTCTCTGCCCTTACGTGAGTGGAAGGCGCTGTGAACGGCAACGTGTAACAGCACTCCATTGCTTTTTTTTTTTTGTCTTTCCCCCGTAAATGTCTCCATCTACGCAAAGAAGCCGAACTCTACGGCAAAGCAAGGCAAACTGTTTTTGTGGTGGGAAGGGTGTGGAAGAGATTGCTATTCACTTTTTCTTTCTTTCTTTCTGTGTGAGGGAGGGAAGGAAAGGGGTGCTGACGTTTGGTGGAAGTGGGTGGGGCCGAACATTTTACGTGAGAGAAGGTTTTTATTCCAATGCTGGCAGCGGAGGTATCAACAGGGAAACGAAGAGCAACGCAACCTCCCTTCTACAACGAGAGAAGCGGCGCACGCACCTGCGGGGAACCAGTGAGTGCGGTATCGCAGCCGCGTAGATGGGTACATCTCTGCACATGTGTGTATGCATATCCGCGTTTGGTGCGGCTCTTTCTCTTCGCTAAGTTGTATTGCTGCATTACTCAAGCCGTGTTTAAAAAATGAACAAAAAAACATTCTTTTTTGTTTTTCTTTTGCTTTTCCAACTCTCTTGCTCTCTGTTTCTTCCCTTCATAGTGATTTTGCGCGGCGTAGTGGGGAGGGGTGGGCATCGCGTCGCGAGTAGATGGGGGCCGGTTCCAGCAGCGAGGCGGCCGCTGTGGCGCACGTCTCCGACGCGGAGGTTGACCATGCCGAGCAGTTGCGCCAGAAACAGCGGATGCTTGAGGAGAAGCGGCGTCGCTACGCCCGCCTGTCCTCCGAGGCGGTGCAGAGAAATAAGGACAAGGGGAAAAATGTGATTGAAAAGGTGTACGAGGAGGATTTTGACACCATCGACCGCGTCCAGGCAATGCGGTTTCCGCCCATGGTGGTAAGGGAGCTGCAGAACGCGGTCGATGCGGAGGCGGAGAGACGATGTGCGGAGGTGGAGAAGACGATGGCGCGTTGCCTGCAGGACAAGATGTGGACGACGTGGAAGTGCCAGAAGGAGCGGGACCGGTACATCAAGTGCACGGTGGAGGGGAAGAAGGACAATGATCTGCTCATGGCCTATCGCTGGAAGTACAATTTAGGGACACTGCACGGTGAGACTATAGGTCGCAACAACATGATGCGGCGCATCTGGAGCGAGCATTTTCCTGATCGTGAGTTACCGCACCCCTGGGTGAGCGACCAGTGAGAAGGGAAGAAGGATAGTAACAAGGAGAGGGAGCCAGCGAGGGTGTTGGCAGCAACAGCAAGAAGAGGAAGCGCGAAGAGGAAAGGAGAATGTAGTTGTGGAGGGAGAACCGACTCCTTTGCGCAGGGCGAACAGCGGCGGAAGGGTGGGTGGAATTGCAAGGAGACATATGGTGGCATTTTTTTTTTTGCCTTTTCTCCGTTAGCGTTGTGCGTTTTGCATTTTCTATCTTTTTTTTTGTTTTTCTATCCTCTGTGAGTGGTCTGGCCACTCTCTCCCCCTCCTTTTTGCTTTGATGGCTCGTCGTGTCTTCTTTCTTGCTTCTTTTGTCTGATGAAAACCTTTCGCTCACTCACACGCACACGCACAGTGCGGAGGGTGCAGCGGGACATGATTCGGGTGGTGGCGCCGGATGAGGGCGTGCTGCAGGAGATGTTGCTACTAGAGCTGCAAGGGAAAGTCGTCATTCCACCCAAAATGTTTAAGGAGGCTCGTGAGCAGCAGCAGCAGCAGCGGGACCAGCGGGAAGACGTTTTGGGTGCGAAGCATCCACGTGATGCTGACGAGGCTTTGACACAGGCAGATGCGTCTGGTGGTGTATTGGGCCAAGAGACGGTGATGGAGGTGCCACTTGGCCTCATTGCTAATGACCCACGCAACGAGAGACGCTGCTCATTGCGCATTGGATCTTTGCTCGTGGAGGGTAGCCGCGGCCGGTACAGTGAGCCCCTGCTTGTGCTAAAGCAACGGAAGCCACCTCGAGATCAATGCCCTGTCCCCGAGGCACAGGAGCGTCCGCGCGTTTCCTCATCTTTAGCATCGACGTCACGGTGTTGTTTGTTGCAGGAATGGCTTGCGGAGCATCCGGAGGAACTGACGTTGGATGCCGCGTTTGCCGCCGTCGACACCAACGTGACGCCAACAAAGACGTATGAACTTGTGGGCATTGTAGAGCGCTACGTGCACTTGAACTCCAAGCCGTTGCGGACGCTGCTATGATCCCCCTCTTTTGTCTCTTTTTTTCTTTTTCTTCTTCTTGTTGCAACGGGGGTGCTGCTGGTGGCGGAAGTGTGCGCGGGTGTTGGCCTCCATTTGCGTACATTTGTTGAAATGTCGTTTCAAGCGAGCAGCTTGTGGGAAGCAGCGAGGAGCCACTTACCCTCCCCCTCCTTTTTTTTTTTTTTGGTCTGACATCCATCATTGAATTATTATTATTATTATTATTATTTTTATGTTTTCTTCTCTGTTGTCAAGGCTGCACCAACCGCTCGAGGAGCACATAGAGATACACCGAAGGGCAAACACAAATAGTCAGAAGGAGGGGCCGAGGGATTCTGAAGCGTTTTAGTTTTTGAATTAAAACACTTTAGAGTCATTCACACGGGGTCCATACATTCTTGCAGGAAAATAAGCGGGCACATCTTTGCATCCAAGGGACAGAGGCGCCGGCGAAGGCGAAGCGCACAAGGAGGTCGTGCCGCCGCACGTTCTGCTTGTAGTTTATTGGTATTTATTCAGTTTTGCTATTGGTGACACAATCAAAGGAAGGTGGCTGCGGCACACACACAAAAAATAAAAAATAAAAGAAACAAAATAACATCATCGGTGCAAGTGAGGGAGCGTGTAGGACCAGTGGCGGCACTGATACAAGGCGAGGAAGGAAGGGATTTGGGGGTGAGTGGGTAGTCTGGGGATACACACATTATACATATTTGTCTATCCACTACCGTACATACGTATACACACACATAGAGTCTGTCGTTGTGAGTGTGCGCGCGTGAGGTTGGGGATTAGGGAGGGTCATTAATTACGTAAGTAGACGAGAGGATAAGTAGATAGAAGCGGTATAGGGGAGCAATAGAGTGAACGAGGGGTATTTTTTTTTTTTTTTTGGGGGGGGGGGAGGGGTTTGTCGGAGCGGAATACATTTGTACTTTACGGATGCGGCACTCTTCACGTCTTGCGCAGGCTTTGTCCTCATCCTCCTCTGCTGCTGCGTTGGGCAAAGTTACTCCTAAGGCGTCTTCGTCACCCCCGCGGCAAGAGAATGGGTGCCATGCAGCTATGTTGTTTATGCAGCGTCATCGTTTCTTTGCACCAAGGGCGTATTTGGCGGGTGCCACGACGCATTGCATTGCTGCATCACCTTCTATTCGCCGTCGACGTCGGTATGAGCCATACTCATGGGTCCTGCAACGATATCTTGAGCGTGGGTCGGTTGACCTTGACGTGTTGCTTTTCCACCCTGATGCCCCGTCACCTGTGGAAACGTTGCTTGACGTTATGCGACATCGTACACCGTGTCAACGTCTTACGGTACATGCACTGGAGGCGGCGTTTAATCAAGTGCGTCTAACTTCTTCAGCAGGCAACGCGTCCTTTGCGTTGCAGACGGTGAACTATTTGCTGCGGTGGCGGTGCCCACAATTATACGACATTCAAGCTGTGCGAGTGCTGCTATGTCAGGCACTGCTCGCTGAGCGATTGTTTAGTGATGCCATTGAGGTCCTGGAAAGTATGCCGGATGCCTGGATCACCCCGGGGCTTTGGGCGGCTGTGATGGAGGCGGCAGCGGAGGGAAAAATGCCGCACTCGCCGATCCTCTGGCGCCTACTGACGCTATCGCCAAGGCAGACTCCCCGCGCAGGCAGCGTCATACGAACGGGGCAGTGCATCTCCTCGGAATTGCTGAGTAATGGGGCGGTTGTAGAGACAACGACTTCAGCGAAACACACTGGAGAGACAGATGAGGGTTATAGTAATGACTATAGGAATAGTAGACACACCATGAAGGATGGTGAGATGGTGACAATGTCGACGTTTGAGGTTCGTGTAACCTCGGTGAAGCGTCTCGCACAGGACACCGATCGGCCTGTGTGGTGTCATTTGAGCATAGCGGAGGTGGGTTACGCGGAGCGGCACTACGGGGCCCTGCGTGATGAGCGGGCATGGGGGCTGGGTACATTGTACCCCGGCAATGGGGATGCTGCAGCCGAGGGCGTTGTTTACGGGCTTGATGCGCGTCTGGCTTCACGACTGATGTTGCGTGCGAATGTGTCTTTTTCTGGGCAGGCATCGCCACTGATTGCCTTGCATATCCTTCGTCGTTATCTTCGTACGTGCTACGTGATGCAGAAACAGGCGTGTTTGCCGAGTGCCACTGCCCCTGCCACTCCCACCGGGACGTCTTCACTGGCAACGGCGCACGCAAACACGGTCGTCGCACCTGGTAGTCACCGTGTACCATCCTCCGTTGCTCTGATGAGGGGGGATGGGACGAGAACTGTGGAGAAGGAAGGTCAAATTCACCCCTCGCCCTTTTTGTTGTTTTTTAAAATTGTTCGTGAGGCCCGAGATGTGGTGGCTGGTGGCAGTGACCTCGGCGTGGTGTCGGGTGCGTCACCCATCACCCCTTCTGGCGGCGGGCTGCCGATGATTCACTGGGGCCTTGTCTGGAGGTTCTTCCAAACCCTGAACCGCGAGTCCCCGGCGTGGTTTGGCGTTATCCCGGAGGAGGCGGGTGACCTCGCGAGGTACGTCATTGATGCCCTCTGCCGCGGGGCCGACCCGTGGATGTCGCTCAATGTTGCCCGCGCTGTGTCCTCGCGCCATATTGTTGACGGCCTTGACATGTCGCTTTGGCTTCTGCACCGTCTCGACGCCTCCCACCACACCGAGGAGGCCTGTGAGGTGACGAAGAAGGTCTTTCGCTGGCTGCTGGTGGACGTGGGGGTCCACCTGCTTCCACAGCTGCACCATCACCTGATACCAGCCTCACGGGTGCTGATCCGGCTGGGGCTGCATGAGGAGCTGAAACAGTTCTATAACGCCGTGCTGGACAACGCGTACACCTTCTCGGAGGGCTTCCGTGCTGACTTTATGCGCGTCATGGAGGATCTGGTGTGTCCTATGTGCAGCTCTATTTTGCCGGAGCGGGACGTCTACGTTGAGCGCTCCTGCCCGTTGTGCCTGACGGTTGTGCCGGCGAAGGACCCAAGCGCACTACCAAGTTTTCAGCTGTCAAACGATCACGTTGCTAGCCTCCGCGAGAAACGGAAAAATCTCCGCGAAAGAGGCAGGCGACGACTGCATGATCGCATCAATCGCTGGTCAAAGGGCGGCGGCGGTGATGGAGCAGAGGAATCCGTGCCTTCTCATGAGATGGGCGTGACATCGTCACTATCCTCCATACGACCACCACCAGACGCCCGCAGTGTGTTTAAGCGCGAGATCCTGGGCGAGACAGTGCCGCTCATACCTGGCGTATCCGTGAAAGAAGGCATGCCGCTCTTCCCACTTGAGGGGGGAAGCCACGGTACAGGTAATGGGGGCGCAGATGATTCCGAGGTTCCCTTTGACGTTCATGCGGCTATGGAGGAGTCATCGAGACGCCTGCAGTTGCAGGAGGCGGCCAGGCGCTACGCCTTGGCGCAGCGTGGGGTGGTGGTAGCCGTTGCACGACACCTGGCGGCACCACCATCGCTGCTAGCATCGGATGCGTCTAGCGCAATGCTGCAACATCAACAATCAGAGTGGAAGCGTGGGCAGCAGTCGAAGTTGCTCATGCACATGCGCATGGATGGCCCATGGACGTGTGTGTGGTGTCAGGAGCACAACTCGGAGTGGAGTTCACGGGTGGAGTGTGCAGCCTGCGGGGCTGAAACGGGTCCATCTGCGCCATGGCGTCATTTTGCCTACGCTGACTCGGGTGATGTCATGACAGAGATTAGAGCCCGCATTGCGAATGCTGGAGAGCGTCCTGTGGATGCCGTTGTTGCTGCATACATGCTTATGGTGTATCGTCGTGCCGTCATGTTAAGGGCCACCCCGCACGATCATGAGCGAATTGATCAGTTGATACAACGCCTCTGTTGGCTGCAGGAACGGGTGCTGGCAGGGTATTTGTACGTTCGGTTTGTTTCACCACGTTTACGGTGCAAGAATAACACGTTATGGGCAGTGGCGACCCTGTTTGGCTGCAGTGAGGCGGAATATGCGGCGATTTCCCCACAGGAGTTGATCCAGAACGAAGAGAAATTTTTTCAGACCATTTTTACCTCTACCACGTGTAAGGTGTGCTTTGGTTTACATGCCTGGAAGACATGCCCCATCATCACACGGGACTTTTCCTCAACAGCACGTGTATCTATTAACATGACCATGGAGGAGAAACAGCGGGCGATGCTGCAGCGTCTACGACTTGTTGTGGAGGCGGCATTGCGATGTGGCACTGATAATAGTCGCCTTGTGGTGGATGCCTACACCACCTTTGTGAAGTCCCCTTACCGTGAGCTCTTTGCGGAGGTTCACAGCGTGGAGGTGAACCGCCTATCCATTCTCCTTAGTCACTATCATCAGTACCGACGGGCTGCGTTTGTCCTCTGCCACATTCCCCTGCATCTTCGGGACGACCGTGCCTACCTGGCCATGACGCATTACTTCAACGTTCCTGCAGAAGAGGCACGGGAGCTGCTGCGGAAACGGAGCGCAGTTGGGGTTGAGGACGAGAGTCATCCAAACTTTGTCCAGGTGGCCCTCACCTGCTGCATGTGCCTTGACGAGCGACATGCCTCCTTTGAGTGCCCGCGACTTGTACTGTGGATGAACGAATTAGATGCACATTCTGCTTCGGTGGCTGTTACAGCAGCTGAAGCGGCCTTGTATGACCCTCTGCAAGGGGACCAGCGGGCAAAGCGGTTGCGGGCCCAGGTGGACGGATGGACTTCTGCTGGTCCCGAACGGCTGCACGCGTTCTATCGATTTTTGCTACAGCGCGTGGACTCCTTTCAGGAGGAAGTTCAAGTGGAAGGCGATGACGATCATGACACCACTGATACTGCCACCGCAGCATCCACGGCACGTAAACCACGACGACGCATTGACGCGGCTGATCTCATTGTTTACGCTGTCAATAAAACCATTGCGAAGCTGGCAGCGGTCGGACATGAGAAGGGGGCTTGCCGACTGTATGCGAGGACTCCTGCAGATTTCATCTCCTGTCACACCACGTGTGCGATGCTGCGCATGCAGCGATTCTCCGAGGAGAGTATCCGCACACTGTTGAACAGCGGCACTGCAGCTTCGTCGTTGTCGTCGTCACCGTCGACGATGGATGATGAGGCGGTGCTGGGTGTGTTTAGCGAGCCAGCTGCAGCGGCAGCGGTACCCATGCATTGCCGCTGTCTCCTGTGTTTTGACGTGAGTCATGCATACTTGGATTGCCCTGAGTTGGCAGCACAGCCGACAAATGCGGCGAAGCTTGAATACATGGCAACGCAAGTGGGCGGTATTCACTGCACCATTGACGGCATCCGCGCCGCTACGGCCTACGTGTACCACATGTACAACCTTGGCAACCTCACAGGGGAGATGCTTCGGGCGCACCCCTCCCTTGTGCGGGCGCTTCTCCGCCTCATACGGCGTTCGTTTGCGACAGGACAAGTGGCTGCGGGCGCTCGTGTGTTGCGGCGGATTCCCATAGAACTTGTGCCGCCCACGCGTGTGTACACCGATCTATGGCGTGCGGCAGGGTTACCGGAGGAGGCAGTGGAGGAGCGTCGGGCGCAGTTGGTAGCGATATACGAGGCGGAGGGGCTGGTGCCGGACATTGACAATCCACCCGCGCGCCAGACGTACACCAATCAGTTGGTCACAAATTTGAGTCGCACCCTGCACGATGATCTCTGCAGGCACTGCTATCAACACGGCCACACGCTGGCAACCTGCAGTGTGTTTCACGCCGAGGTTAGCTTTGGCCGGGACTACGTCGCCGCCTACCGCATGAGTATGATGTCAGAACAGCTGGATCGGGATTGGCAGGATGCCTACCTTTTAAAGCTGGCTGACTTTTTTCTGTCGCATCGACTCTTCATGCCGTACCACATTGTTGGCGTCACGAACGCGTTGAATGCCATTGCGGCCATGTGGAGCTTCCGCGGGGAACCTGGCATCGCCATGCGGCACCTTCTTGCCATCGCACCCGCCTATCGTCGTCGACAGGCCTTTAAACACATCCTTCACGCACTACACATCCCCATGGCGGATATAAATCGGGTTCTTGCCAATGTTTACTTTGTACCAGATGAGCTTTCATCCTCATTTCCGTCGGGCAAGCGGCGGGATGACTCCCCTGCACCGACAAGCAGTGATGGCGGTAAGGGAAGCAGCAGCGTTAGCGGCGGTGCGGTGGCACAGCACTTACTGATGCCGAAGCCTGCAATACGTGATGTGGCCATGTCAGCTGTGTTTAACCACTTCCCTGAGGCCCTGGTAGCTCTGGAGCAGAGTGAGGAACGCATGGCGATGATCCGCCGCCGCAACGCAACACAGCGAACGGTGACGGCTCCGCACACTGGCGCCGCCACCATCGTGGCAAAGGAAGGTGCAATGAAACCGCCCCCGGACACAGTCGTCAGCAAAAGCTCAGCTGTGGAGGCTTCCTCCCCCACGCATTCCCCCGCGCTGCGTGTAATGCAGAGTGGTGACATTTTGAGCCTTCGAGAGGACTTTGATCCAGTGCTGACGGAGTTGGAGGTGGCGGTGGGGATGAAGCTGGGCAGTCGACACGTGCTCTTTACGAGCGCCGTGGACATTCTCACTGCGGCGAACAAATCGGATGATGTCAGGCGGGACATGCCCGCTTCCTCGCCATCCCCGAGGACGGTTGCATCCGCGGCAGTCGAAAGGCAGAGGGGAGAGGAGACGCGCCACGCCTCACGGGAACCGCAAAAGTCGGACAGGGACGCAGTCGTTACAGTCTTCACGAATGAGGTGCGACAGGGGCGGCCAGAGGGCAAAAAAGGGGAGCCCCGCAGGTGGGAGGATGACCGTGGCGGCAAACGATCCTTCCCGTCGCCGCACGGACAAAAGAGGGAGACCTTCGGCCACTCGGCTCCACGTCAGCAGCAGGGAAAACAACAACAACAGCAGCGGCAGCAACACTACTCGAGGCAACCCCGATACCACGAGAGGCAGCAGCAGCGGCAGGGCCAACGGGGAGCAGGCGGGAATTCTCCAAAGCACTCGAATCGGTCGTAGCCATGTATTACGTACGGGTTCATGGGCGCCAAAAGAAAAAAAAAGAAGGTTCCTCGCCGGTCTTCTGATGTGTGTGCGTGTGTGAAAAAAGAAAGCGAGGAGGGAACCGATGCAACAACGGCAACCAATCAAGAAACGAAATGAGGCCAAGGGAAGAAAAGAAAAGAAAAAAAAAAGAAATGGGGATGACATGAAAAGATTTAAAGGAAGAGGGGGAAAACAACGGAAAACGAGGCTGTAAAGGAGGTGCTACATGTGCACGTGTGCGCCCGAAGCCAGTAAAAATTTGACAGTCCTTTTGCATGTTCTTTTTTTTTTCTTCTTCTTCTTTTTCGTTTTGATCTCGTAACACCACCGCCAGTTTTTGACGATGTTGGCTACCGTCGTTGTCGTTGTCATTGTTGTTGTTGTTTTTTTTTTTTTGCTCACCGGGTGCACGATCGTCGTTTTCTGCGACATTGCAAGAGTCCGCCTTCTTTTTGTGTTTGTGGCTTCAGCTGCGTTTTTGATCTCCCGCAGTCCGCCGCCGGAAACATCTTTCTTTTTCTCCTCCTCTCTTTACGTGTCTGCATGCATGTCTGGCTGCCACACGGGAAGTGTAACACAGCAAACGCGCAAGAGAAGGGAACAAACAATCATTTTAGACGTTGTTGATCTTCTTGCAACATTTATTTTCCAACTACTCTTGTGGTGCGCCTGTACGATCTAAACCACCCCCGAGACGTTGGAAGGACGAAGCGGAGGCGCCATTCCGGATCCACCTCTTCGCGCCAGTCACGGGAAGAGGGGTGGAGCTCTTTTGCTTGCTGCGTCCCAGGCATGCAGCCCCACAGCCAGACAAGCCCGGAAAAATCCACTCTGCTGCGGTTGCGTGGCGGACATGCTCCCATGCCATTTTCGGGAGGTACAGAGCACTTCGGCGGCAAAACCAACCGAATCGGAGGGAGAGCTGAGGATATTTTGCGTGAGACATCTCCGCATGCCCGTCTCCGTGGGATTTATCTGCGACCCACGTTGTTTATGATCGACGGCACAGCCACACATCTGATGGAAGTGCTGTATCCATCAACCAGGGCCGACTCCTCTTTATTTGCTACGGCGACTAACAGTCTGCTACCAGCAACGACAGAGAAGCCGACGTGGTGGGGCTACCGACGCCCACAGTCTCTGGCCTCATGGGTGTGCTTTGAGTATTCGTTGACTCCTGTTTCTCAGCTCCCGGCTGCCTTTAACATCGTGACAGAAACGCCGGATGGCTACACGGAGGAAGAATTAGTCCGGGAGTCGCCTCACGCGTTGCACCCGGCGGCTTCTGAGCAGTGGCTTGAAGTGGCACAACAAATGTCACGAAGTTTACGTGAGAACCGACACTCCGCGCCTTTCCGTGCGGAAGAGTGCAGGACCATGGGAAATCCCTTACCACCATCTCAGGTGTCGCTACCTCTAGGCGGCGATGAGGAATGCCTGACGCCTAACAGCTCTGCCTTGCTTGGCGACGTTGAAGTGGCAGTACGTGCGATGCGTCCTGGTGAGGAGTTTGCGTTCCTCATCATGAACCCAAAAACCTTTTACGAGAGCATACACAGCGCATACGTTTCACACCTTTTTAATAACCCTGGAGGCTCCCCATTTCGGTGTGTTTATCTCCGCGTCAAGCTATTGTACCTCCTTCCTCGTGTGCCCACGTGGCTATCTGTCATTCAAAAGTACATTGTGGATGCTCCAGCTTCTTTGCCAAAGGAGCCGGAGAGGACGCAGATGGCACCCGAGCGTGTATACAACTATATATTGCCGATTCACATCTTTCGCTATTCAGCGTTCTGTATTAACCCGTCGGAAATGGCGTTTATAGACACACAAACGTATCAATGCGCTCTTCGTGCTTTTTTTGTAGCCAATGCGTCGGTGTCGTTGGGTTGTCATTTGGCACCTCCCCCTCAAACCGGTTTTGTTGGGGCCGAGACGGTAACGCAGCAGTGTAGTAGCGGCGTGGGCACCATCACCAAGGGCACTAAGTGCGGAAGGGGCTCTGAAGATGTCAAGGCGGACGCAGAAGAAGGAGGCGAGAAGGCGCCGACGGACGAAGAAGCGTTGGCATTTCTGCGCCGTGTTTTTTTTGCCTCTCCCCGAGATGGTGCGACTGTGTCGTGTACTGTCGTGCAAAAAAGTTTGCTCACGGGGTGTTTGCTCACGCCCAAGACTGTCATTGGCATGGAGCTGGGGAGCATGTCCCTCCCGCTCTGGCTAGAGGCCTCGCTTCAGACGATGCACAGCGGGGAGAAGGACTTTGTGAGTGTGCAACAGGACTGTGAAGACGATGGCGCTCTGCTGTGTTCACTGGCGGATGAGTTACGCACCGCCGCCTCATTGCAAGCTCGCGTGATGGAGGAGATGCGAGGCGGCAGCATCTCACTGCGGGAGCTAGCGGAGGAACGGGGCACACCCCCGGGCACGTCCCTTTCTTCACTCAACTCCTTCAGCAGCATCCAGGCACTGCACAATGGTGGGTCTAAAGATGAGTCCGAGCCCAAGCATGTTTCCCCGCACGAGGTTCATTACCTTGTTTCCCTTGATAGATTTGCAAATGTGTATGACACCACTGCGTTCTTCTTCGTTCACCCTGAAAACTCCCTTCGCGTGGTGCAAAAGCTTGACAAGGAGGCAAAAGCCCTGCGCAGGATGAGCGGTACACGCCAGGCGAACATGCAACGGCGGCTTGAAACAGACGATCACGCGGACCATGACAATACGGACAGTAGAGACCAGTATAGTGGCAGCAATACAGTGGAGGATTTCGCTCTTCCTGCATGTGCCACGGCGCAACAGATGACGATTCATTGCAAGCCATTTGGGCACATCAACCGCCCTTCGGAGGAGCGTGGCATTGTGAAGGCCATACAAAAGATGAATCTTATCGTTTTTTTCTTGACTTTTCACGTAAATGAACGCTCCATGCGTGCCAGGGGTGTGCCGGCTGTTCTCATGCAAGAACGTGTTGAGACGTTAATGAGCGCCTTTTGCAGATTGGGTCGACTCTACGCAAAACTGCACCGTAGGGATGCATACACGCTGGCTGTGGCGGCGCTCTCCGCTGCCATTGTACTGTCACCACAATACCCCCAGTTGTGGATGCACCGTGGCGCGCTGCATCAGCGAATGCACGAAGTTCACAGCGCCGTGTATGACCTGACACGAGCCAAGTTTCTTGCCGAGGAAAGGTTGCGGCGATCCACCTCCTCACGAGGCACGGAGGCGGCCGGAGGCAACCGGGAAATCTCCCTGCCGCTCTTCGCGACGGCCACCGCGTCTACTGCTGCCGCGGATGCAGCGGGTGATGGTGGTGGTGGTGCTGCGGAAGATTCTTCTGGAGATGAGGTGACCATGCTTTGGCGCATCATACGGCGTGCGGAAACCCTCCTCACCGAATTGCGCACGCTGCAGGAGGGGGAGGGAGAAGAGGAGAGGAGGTAAGCTATGCCGTCGCCCTCACACCCGTGAGAGGAGAAGCGTGCGGAAGGGTGTGAGGGCGTTTCTGATAGAAGGAAGACGCATGTTATTGATTCTTATCTAAAACGAGGAGTGACCCTCGCAGGAAAAGGAGTAAAACCACCGCCGCTTTTATTGGTATTATCATTGCTATTGAAGGGCAGTGACATTGACGCCGTTTTCTTTGCGGGCAGTCGTTACACATTTGTCGACATGTCTTTCAGGTACGCAGCAACACACAAACGCACACGACACACGTGTGGTACGGTTGATTAACACGTATATATGTATATATGTATATATGTATATATGTCTGTGTGTGTATATATATATATGTGTGTTGTGTGTGTGTGTCGGCTGTTGTTTCTTCTTTCCAGTTGTATTTTGTTGATGCTGTTTCCCGCTGTTTTCTTTGCTGTCTCTCCATCTCCCTTTTTGTTGTTATGTTTG